GCAGCCCAGAAAGCCAACCATATCCTGGGCTGCATCAGAAGAGGCGTGGCCAGCAGGTTGAGGGAGGTCATTCTGCCCCTCTACTCTGCCCTCGTGAGACCCCACCTAGAGTACTGCATCCAGCTCTGGAGCCCTCAACACAAGAAAGATGTGGACCTTTTAGAACAAATCCAGAGGAGGGCCACTAAGATGATCAGAGGGCTAGAGCACCTCTGCTGTGAAGACAGGCTGAGAGAGCTGGGGTTGTTCAGCCTGCAGAAGAGAAGCTTCCAGGAAGACCTTATAGTGGCCTTCCAATACTTAAAAGGGGCCTGATATAAAAGAGGGGGAGAGACTCTTTATAAGGGCAGATAGTGATAGGACAAGGGGGAACAGTTTCAAACTGAAAGAGGGGAAATTTAGATTAGATATTAGGAAAAACTTCTTTACTCAGAGGGTGGTGAGGCACAGGAACAGGTTGCCCAGAGACGTTGTGGATGCCCCATCCCTGGCAGTGTTCAAGGCCAGGTTGGTTGGGGTCCTGGGCAACCTGGTCTAGTGGGTGGCATCCCTGCCCATGGCAGGGGGTTGGAGTTAGATGATCTTTAAGGACCCTTCCAGACCAAGCCATTCTATGATTCTATGATTCTATGATCAGGGAACACTTTTTTAGTGTGAGGATGATGAGCATTGGCACAGGTTGCCCAGAGAAGCTGTGAAGTCTCCATCCATGGAACTATTCAAAAGCCACCTGGACATGGTCCTCGGCAACTGGCTCTAGGTGGCCCTACTTGAGCAGGGTGGTCATCTCCAGAGGTCCCTTTCAACCTCAACCATTGTGTGATACTGTAAAAAAAACTAGTGTATAAAAGGGTGCAAAAGATAATGAATATAAAGTATTAGTGAAACCATGAAGAGTAAAATCCTAAATAGTCAGTCAGCTTTCCTATAAATTTAAGTTATCCAGAAGGAAAACAGAAGAAGTAACTGCAGCAGTGCAAGAATCTAATAAGGATATTCTTCCATGAAGAAAGGAGAGATCATACAGATGTATCCTTCCAGCATTATGGTACAAAATGATTTTAAGGAAAAAAGGAAACCCTACATATGCTGAAACCTTTGAAAAAGAGAAGTGATTAGGAATGCAATTACTAATACGAGACATACTTTCGGTACTAATTGCACTACACTTTTCTTCCTGTAAATAGCAAAGTTTTTGACATAGATTTGGGTAATAGAGTATTCACTACTGAGTAAATTTTTGAAAGCCAAAGTGTAGCTAGCACACGACTGCTTACCAGAAACCACAGTGATGTGAAGCTGAAGTAACCTCTGTGTTTTGAGAGAGGGATTATGCTTTAAATGGTCAAGGCCTAATAAATGCCCTGACTGATAAAGTCAGTGGGATACTTGCTGTTGACTTCAATATTCATTAATACAAGCCATTGGTAAAGAGCAGGATCATTAAGCTGCAATACCCACAAAGACTAATTTAAATACAGGCTGTCCTTTACTGCCAGTGCTATACTGTTCTTCACCTCAAGAGACCCACTATACTCTTATAGAAATATTCAAGTCAGTAACTATGTATTACTGTAAGTAAATGGTTTGCAATCTGGCCCTTATAAATAGCTAAGAGAAACAACTTGACTAATCAAAATCATGTGCTACAACATTTCAGACTACTTTCAAGATCATAACTATACAGAAATTTCAGGCTTAAAGGAAAAAAATGGGAACCAGAAAGGAAATAAAACCACACTTTTGTTGCTGTTGTTTTTAAAACAAATATTCTACGTAAAAGAAGGGGTTGTGTGAGAGAAGCAGGTAAATCATATGCACTCCTGAATGTGAGGTACCAGATGTTGTACTATGTGATACTTTTAGACTTCACAACTATTTCAGAGTATAAGAACCATTTGTTTAGCTCCAGGTCATTGCCTTTCAAGGCAATTTTTGAAAGAAGGCCTTAAAATTTAATTCTGATAAAATAGAAACAAATAATCTCATTAGTACTAAAATGAGACTATGGGAATAATTACCTGTATATTCAAAACTGATATTGGGCACATATATGCATGCACTAGCTTTGCAAAATTAATGTACAGATGTACATCTGTTAAACATAGATCTATAATATTTTTCTAGATATAATAATTTGCACTGTGATTTGAACATCTTATCTGTTTTTCACATTAGAATAATGAACAGTGATGCTGAGAATAAAAATAATGGTTGTTTAATCCTATAGTACTTTATAGTGTTTGTCCTATTGACTAGCAGAATATTTAATTCCCATACAATTTTGACTGATGCATATGCCTTTGTTATTATCCTCCTAACTTCCTTGGGTCAAGGAGTCTCTCCATCTTGCATAATCAAATAGAACATAAATGCAGATGAAACAGAATATTTAGAGCGTTAGGAAAAAATAATTGATGCTTAAGCTTAATGCATATTATTTAATAGAATAAACGCAAGCATGTACATAAAATTAGTCACTTAATAATGCATTGTTACATCAATGTAGAGTAATATAATTACAATGATATATAGGAATTCATTATAATTACCCTTCCATGGAGAAAAAGATTAGAAATGGGGAAAGATTTATTAGGTCAACTAGTAAGTTCCTTCACCAAATTATACCATAAGTATTTTCTCCCGTCTCTCTTTAACTGACTCAAATGTTGCAAAATTTCTCCACTTCTAGAGAATTTATTCTATTGTTCAACAGACTAATAGAACCTAGCCATCTCAGAGACTTTACCTTATATTCACTTTTTTCACTGCTCATTTTTATCCCGTTTTCTTAATTATGCCTCTAGGATCTACTTTGAGAATGTATGCACTTTCTAAAAGCATATACTGTAAATATTTACAGACAATTTCCTATCCTTACCCCTCACTATGACCTCCTCATTCCCCTTACTCCAGTCACATTTGTAATGTGTTTATTTAAGCTCAGGTATTCAAACAAACCAAAGAAAAAAGGACGTCCATAGAAAGGTCATACTGAGGGTAATGAGAGTAAGTACTTGCTGAAATCCTTTTTCATTTATAAAAACAAAGATCTAGCCAAATGGTCCAGAAGTGTTGAATATTTTAGTCACTCTTTTTTTAATTCATGAAAAACAATTTACATAATTCTAGAGGTCAGTTCAACTGCCTCAGTGTAGAATATCTAGAATCATTTGAGATGACCTAGGTTATCCTGCTTTATCTGCTAGTCCTAACATGCCCAAGTCTCCTGTGAATACTTTGTATCTACTAGTCATTATGGACCAAGATACTGTAGGGTTTCTCATGATATTAGGTACCTATGTGTGTGACGACCAAACTGAGGTTAGTGACTGTAGATATGATTTTCAAATACTAAAATTAATTCAAGTTTAGAATACCAAATACTGTTGAAAGTCAGTTAGGTAGATCTGTTTGTGTAGGTGGTTAAATAGAGGTATAACAACATACTAATATTAACTCCTTAAAAACAGCATTTAGTATAATGACTTTTTAATTATTTTTATTCAATAATGCTTCAATGAGTGCTGACTTACATTTTTCCCATCATTACCAGAAAATATGTTCTGGGCTATCAGATTTCACATACGATGCTCACCCTAGAATACTAGAAGGTAGATGAAATCTCAAAGGCACAGTAAAGATCTGTGAACTCTGCTTCCAACAGGAGTTTCATGGTTTGGATTTTTTATTATCTCTCCAGGTATCTTAACTTCCCACAAATGCACTGACATCAGAGCAAATAATCAGTACATCTACACAAAACTTGTGTATCTGAAACAATTAGTAAAGAAGCATGTAACTCCTCCCATTAGTTTTTACAGAAGTTGGCTACAGTTAATGATAGCCAAAGTAAGACTTCTTATCTTGATTCAAAATCCACCAAAGTCAGTAGACATCAGTAGGATTTCGAGTAAAGCTAGAAATCAGTTTTAATGAAAAAAATTTGAAGTATAACTGTTTAACTGTGACCCTCGGATTGATCTAAGACACTGGATAAAATTTTAATGGTTATCTCTCTTTGTAGTCTTGAAATTAAATCAAATAGCTCTTTGTAATTTGTTCAAAAATACAAACAATATTTTATAATATTAAACTTGCAGTATAAATTATTATACTAGTGTTCTAACATACTATGCTATGCACAAAGTCATTGTTACTATAGAAGTATTTCATAAGGAAGGTAAATACACAATTTATTTTAATGTATAAATACTTATACACAAAAGTAAAATTCTTACAGGATTGGAGGAAGAAAATAAATAAATAATGAGCATCAACTACTTAATCTATTTTCATCATTTAACTTAGATACGCATCAGCCTATGGACCCAGATCTCAGAAAATGTCCAAATTCCCTATGTATATAGTGAAGGTGCATATGCCTTGAAAGACTCCAAAGAGAGATCCTGTCCAGTTATTTTAGTAAACTACCTTTAATTGGCATGTCAGAGAAAAATATTTATCCTAAATTTTAGATGGACTGCCTTACCACCTTGAGGTGCCTCTCTGTCCCTCAACTATAAGTGAAAGCTGAAAAAATGAGTTCTTAGCTTGAAGGACAGTCACGTAATTGCACAAGTAGATCATTCAGGGCTATACGAATATTAAATTCAGACTTAAAATAATTTAAGGTCTTTTCTAAAGTTATTTTTGAAGTGTTACTTCTGGATCATCATTTTGTGGGATATAATTGAATAAAGATATTATTTTGACCTAGACAGTATTTTGTTATCATACATGTGTTTTTAATAGCACAACACAAATTAGCTCAAAAAAAGCAATGATTTCTTTGAATTTTTAAACATATTTGTTTCATCTGTGGTCATATAATTTTATTTATTTATTTAGATATTTATTATTTGCTCCAAATAACAAAGCAAATATGTTTAATCAGATGAATTTCTGAATATTTAATACATACAAGAAAATCATCATCTATTATCAGGCATGTTTTCAACAGGAGTTGTAGTTTAATGCATTGACTGCATCAATTTTGAATAATTATAGATGCAGCTCCCATCCAAACAATAGAGTAAAATGAAAAATCCAGGGCATGGGTAAGACAATGCTGTTCAAATGAATGCTGCTGGTGTGTGTCTTTGCAAACATGAATAAAAGTCTGGGAAAGGGAGAAGCTGTGGATGTTGTCTACCTGGGCTTTGTGAAGCCTTTGACACCATTTCCCACAGCATGCTCCTAGAGAAACTGGTGGCTCATGGCTTGGATGGGCATACTCGTCACGGGGTAAAAAACTGGCTGGATGGCCAGGCCCAAAGGCTAGTGGCGAATAGAGTTAAACCCAGTTGGCGGCCGGTCACAAGTGGTGATCCCTAGGGATGAATGTTGGGGCCAGTCCTGTTTAATAATATCAATAATTTGTTTAATAATATCAATGATCTGTTTAATTTGTTTAATAATATCAATGATCCTGTTTAATAATATCAATGATCTGGATGAGGGGATTGAGTGCACCCTCGGTAAGTTTGCAGATGACACCAAGTTGGGCAGGAGTGTTTATCTGATGGAGGAAGGCTTTACAGAGGGATCTGGACAGGCTGGATCAGTGGGCCAAGATCAACTGTATGAGGTTCACCAAGGCTAAGTGCCAGGTCCTGCACTTGGGTCACCAGAACCCCATGCAATGCTACAGGCTTGGGGAGGAGTGGCTGGAGAGCTGCCCAGCGGAAAAGGACCTGGGGGTGTTGGTTGACAGCCGCCTGAGCATGAGCCAGCAGTGTGCCCAGGTGACCTGTATAAAGAATAGTGTGGCCAGCAGGACCAGGGAGGTGATAGTGCCCCTGTACTCGGCACTGGTGAGGCCGCACCTCGTGTACTGTGTTCAGTTTTGGGCCCCTCACTACCAGAAGGACACGGAGGTGCTGGAGCGTGTCCAGAGGAGGGCAACGAAGTTGGTGAAGGGTCTAGAGCACATGTCTTATGAGGAGCAGCTGAGGGAACTGGGGTTGTTTAGCCTGGAGAAGAGGAGGCTGAAGGGAGACCTTATTGCTCTCTACAACTACCTGAAAGGAGGTTGTAGCGAGGTGGGGGTCGGCCTCTTCTCCCTAGAAATGAGTGATAGAACAAGAGGAAATGGCCTCAAGCTGTGCAAGGGGAGGTTTAGATTGGATACTAGGAAAAATTTCTTCACCAAAAGGGTTGTCAAGCATTGGAACAGGCTGCCCAGGGAAGTGGTTGAGTCCCCATCCCTGGGGATATTTAAAAGACGTGTGGATGTGGGAACGTGGTTTAGTGGTGGACTTGGCAGTGCTAGCTTAACAGTTGGACTTGATGATCTTAAAGGTCTTTTCCAACCTAAATGATTCTATGGAAAGGTTAAAAAATCCAATGAAACAAACAAACAAAACCCTCAGAACAGAACAAATAGGAATCAGAATACAAAATGCTGCCAAAATAAGAAAAATAAAACAATCCATAGGAAAGAAAGCTACCTCACTTTATTACTCCCTTGACCTTCTGGTAAAACAAAAGGTTTTTTCTGCAACTGTTATTACTGGAAGTAAAACTTGGGTTATAAATTAGTCCCCACGTTTAATCTAGGAACTTAATCTGGCATCTGTTGTAACTACTCCATCCCTGTGGTGTCACATAAATAATAATTACAAGTACCTTCACTAAGAAACTCCATCTCTGTTTTCCTTTGCTGCATAGCCTGACAGCTATTTCACTTGAAGTTAATTTCTTCAGCTATGTAGCCAATCCAGCCTCTTCATGTGACTATACCATATAAATTCTCAGGGCAGTAATTATTTTATTTTACCACTCCAGAGCCTTATCACACATTTTAGAAGACTGAGATGAATCTGTGCCTTCACTTTGATGTCCATTTTATTGAATTATTGACTCTGTTGGCTTTACCATTGTTAAATTCCCTCTATCTATGGTCCACCAGCTTTTTTATTGCTAGTATGTAGTTTGGGATTTGACCTTTAATTCCTAATATATTTTTAATTGATTGTGCTCCATTTGCTTGTGTGGTAATTATACTTAATTGAGATGTATCTTTCATATTTTGGAATAGTCATAGACATTTAAACGAAGTTATTGCATTGTAACTCCAGTTACATACTGATGTTGCTCAGACCAATATTGATTCTGCTGTTGCAGAAGCGGGTCTTATTTACTGTACATAAAACTATGAACACAACAGTATTTTTCTAGATAAATACAGATTTTCAAGAATCGGTACTATTGGCTTCACAACAGCTTAAAAGTATTTTTTACTGTGTGTTAACAGTGTACATATCTTTTCTTGAAAGCAGTATACATATTTTTTCCTGAAATCCGTGATTAAAAATCTTGACAGAAAAAAAAAGCCATTTCATCTGCATTCAAAACTTGGCTATTACTGTATCCGGGTTTTTCTCTCCAATTTGCATAATAATGATAAGATTATTCCAATGTGTTCCTTAACATTTAGTATCCAGCACAGTTGACTTCTGTTTTTCTTGCCTTGAGAATCAGCTACTGAAATATTCTGTTGGCTGATTTGCTTGACAAATCCTTTTGGCTGAACTTTAGTATGCATAGGAAACAGCTGTTCTATTACTGGCAATTACTAAAAAAGAACCCGAGTAATCCACAAATCACCATACTGTTTGCTTTTAGCCCTTTGCTGACAATGGTACTTGACTAAGCAGTGAAAATCTTTCTTCCCAAGACATTGCATCTTGTAGCGGAGCATATAAACAAAGACTGTGCATCCACTTCAAACACATGTGAGGACATAAAAGATTATGGCAATGCTTTTTATACCGTTCAGCCACATATTGCTGAACGATTTTCCTGTGATCTGCTTTGAATGGTCTATTTAACTATGAATATTTTCAACATGCATGTTACATGCACCATGACAATTTACAGTTTCTTGTTCATGTATTTGCATATACATGTTGAAAATTAGACCATAATACTCTTCAATGCAAATGCATCTCCTTTATGCTAAATTTTGTAATCATTACTCTAACCTAAACCAAGACTCAACATAAAAAATCTCATGGAAAGCTCCCTATATTATCTTAAAGGTAAAAAAAACAGAATCCAATTCATTGTTTTCACATTATATGACAAATACAGTTTCATGATGAATTGTTTTTTCTTGCTTATTAATGTTATTAGCTTTATACATGAAAAGTTAAAATTGTGCTTTCTTTTCAGTTTCTTCAGTTGGTAAGATGAATGGACAAATGTATGCATACATGCCTCATACAAGTAATTCCAATATGCATAAGACTAGTGGACATTAAATTTATGTTTTGCACCTAGTCATAATCTTAAATTGACCTTTCATCAATTAAAATGTCAGCTCAAAGAAATCCTAAAATATCCCCAAAGAAAAAGGTTTTTCTTTTCCTAAAATTATTGTTCTTTCTTTTACTTTCTATCCCTCAGTACATTTTTATCTTTCTTATCTCCAGTTAGGACTTCTGACATGACCTTTCTATCTAAAAACCAAAAAGAACAACCAAACAAAAACCCACAACTGCCTGTTCCCAAAAAAATCAAAACTACAGCTTGTCTGTCAAGGAAGAGGTTTATTTACCAAAACAGATATGTGATCTGAGCAGCCAATACCATCATTACTCAAATAATTAGCCTATTGATTAGCAGCTCTCTAGATCAGATTACCAGTGTGTCCTTGGTACCCAGGGTCACAGAATTCCTTGCTTTTTTAAGTTCCTTCTTTCTTTACTTAGTGAATCCAGAGCTTCTTTCTTTATAACCCTTACTGTGTGAATTTACACACTGATCCCCTTTGCTAACCTATTAATTAACACTGTTTTCAGATCTTTTTTAATACATGATTAGCAATCTGACCATTTAAATTAAGCAGCAGAAGAAAATCATAAAATGCCTCATTTGACATTGATTAAAAGTGGTGATGGTTTCTTCTATGTTTTAGTTTCTAATGCCATCCACTGTAAAGTAAAACTCAGACTGCAAATAAACTTTGCATGTCACAATTCCAAGAGAACATCAGACTGCTTCCCCATTAGTTTCAGGAAAATCTGATTCATGTAGTCTCTCACTACAAGAAACTATTGCCATCTTTCAAGTTCCACAGCCAAGACAGGCCTCTGAGGGACCTACAATAGCCAGTCATGAGACAGTCATTAGAGACTTATTTGATTTTATCAAAACCATCCCAAAAGCTGCTTTTACCCAAAGACCACTTTTTTTTTTTTCTTTTTTTTTTTTTTCTGGCTATTAAAGACTTATTTTACTGTCGAGGCATAAATATTTCTCAAAGAAACAAGCCATCTCTGATCTCTCAGTCTTAGGGGGAAAAAAAAAGTCTCTCCCTCTCAAAGATTCAGATTTTCTGAGCACAAAATACGGGAACCTACTAGAGAATTGTTTTACAGCTGATTATATGTTAACTTTTCCTCTCTCCCTAATCTATCTGTGTTTCAAACTGCCTCTGTTTCAAACTTTCCTCTTCCCAAGAAGATAATTACTCTCTCTCTAATTTCTCTTTGCCTTGTTTTCCTCTCTTGTCCTCTCACCTCTTTTCCATACAAACTGTCTTTTCTTTCAAAGATTACCTAACTGATACATATCTAAATAAACTCTGAGCTGTTACCACCTTGTATTTCACTTTTAAATTTACTGCGTCTATTTCAGACCTTAAGAAGGGCTTGCATCCCCAAAAGCTTGGTTGATTTTTTTTCAGTCCAGTTGCCAGTCAGTCCAGTAAAGAGATACTGCCTCTAATGACAGATTTTCTCTCCTGCCCATAAAAACAATTGCGTTGAAAGATATATAAGAAATAAAATAGTATGTTGTAGTTATCCTGTAACTTATTTATGCATAAATTTCTGAGTAAATGTCTATGTAGTGCTAAACACGATTTTTGTTTCTTTTTAAAATATGATCTACTGCTCAGTATTTGAGAAGGAAAAAGAGAGACAGTTCTAATAAATGGTTAGCTCTAATATGCAAGCAATATTCATGTAAAATATTCAATTTTTCTAAACAAAAGCTTAGACCTTATTAGTGACCTAATCAAGAACTTATTTATGACATAATGATTTAAGTCAGCATGCGCAAGTACGGGAAGGGAATTGGTATTCAGGAACGCTTAAGCAGCCCAAGAACCACATATACACTACAATTCAATGATAGACTGAAATGCATTCCCAAGGTCAATATCAAGTTGCTCTGTTGATCTCTCAGAGACATTACCTGAACATGCAGAAATTCAGGCATCTAGAGATATAAGCCAACACATAAATAGAGATGGCAATTTTTAAGGTCTAAGTGTCAATTGCCAATAACATTTTGGCTTACAGATTTTTGTTATAAAACCTCCAAGGGACTGCTAAATTATTTAAATAAAGATCGGGACAACACTGCTAACATGGGGTCCTAGCAATACTTTTCTTGTAATGGTACCTAAATTGCCTTCCTCATTCTAATGATACAGTCTCAAAAGTAATGAAAACTCTGTTGCATGTCATTGAATATTTGCAAGTTCTGCATTATTATTACATATAAATATCTTTATCTTACTGATAACCAATTTATTTCAATATAAACTGATTAGCTATTTAAATGAGAGAATGACTGATGAAATAGAGTAGATACTTTGTTTTCATCTGAATTTCCACTTATTCTTTAGGCAACTCTTCAGACAATATTCTGAGTCAAGGTGAAACTGTAGAGAGGTTTCAATTTTTTCTTCCAAAATCCTACCGTTACTGCTTACTAGCTTAGTTCTGCTATAACTAAGCAATTATGTGATACTAGTATGTAAAGCCAAATGTTACTGTTGTTAATGTCACTAATGATTCTCTGCACACACAGAAAGATGTTACGTAATTTTTTTTTGTATGTGTGTATTTTAGTGTCTAGAACATGAAATAAAGGGTTTATTTTGAGAAGTCATGTTCCAGTAGGCTATTAACAACGACAACAAAAAAATACCTCCTTTATATAGACAAGTTATCCTGGAAAGGTGATAGTCTCCATTACTGTAGGTCTTGAGGAAAAGTCTAGGCAAAACCATGTAAATAGATATTTATAATAGAATGGATTGGAGTATTTCCTAAAGTTCCTTCCAACTCCATGGTTTTGCATAGTCATCTTTGTGGAAAAATAAAAATACATTACTTATAAGCCTGCTACTCCGTGGTCCTTATGGATCATAACATGCAGGTTCTTTGTTCATTTATCTATGGAGCGAACTAAAATTCCTTTTAAATCAGTA